TCTCCCTTCTAACCTCCGCTGGGAAAATCCTCGCAAGAATCCTTGCAAACCGCCTTCTGCCACTCTCAGAAGACACCCTCCCAGAATTCCAGAACGGCTTCCGCCCCTCCAGAGGAACCGTGGACATAATCTTCACTGCACGACAGCTCCAAGAAAAATGCAGAGAACAAAATCAACCTCTGTACATGGCATTCATTGACCTTGCAAAGGAATTTGACACAGTGAATCGCAGCGCTCTCTGGACCATCCTCCAAAAAATCGGGTGCCCAAACAAATTTGTGAACATCCTGCAGCTCCTCCATGATGACATGATGGCAACAGTCCTAGACAGCAGTGGCTCCCAAAGTGACCCATTTAAGGTGGAATCGGGTGTCAAACAGGGATGTGTTATTGCCCCAACTCTATTCTCCATCTTCATCGCTATGATACTTCACCTTGTTGATGGGAAACTTCCCACTGGAGTGGAAATCATCTATCGGACAGATGGCAAGCTATTCAATCTCAGCAGACTGAGAGCCAAAACCAAGGTTACAACAACATCTGTTATAGAACTCCAGTATGCTGATGACAATGTCGTCTGTGGGCATTCAGAAGAAGATCTACAAGCCACTCTAAACACCTTTGCAGAAGCATACGAGAAGCTCGGCTTGTCATTGAACATTGAAAAAACCAAGGTGCTTTTCCAGCAGGCACCAGCCAACCCCTCTCCAATGCCAGTGATACAGCTTAATGGTGTAACATTCGAAAATGTTGATCATTTCCGCTACCTTGGCAGCCACCTCTCCACCAAATACAACACCACCTGAGCTCTGCAAGCGCAGCATTTTTCCGAATGAAGCAGAGACTGTTTGAGGACCGGGACATCCATAGGGATACCAAGGTGCTTGTTTATAAAGCTATTGTCCTCCCAACCCTGCTATATGCCTGTGAGACGTGGACTGTCTACAGACGTCACATGCAACTCCTGGAACGATTCCATCAGTGCTGCCTCCGGAAAATCCTGCAAATCTCTTGGGAAGACAAGCGGACAAACGTCAGCGTGCTGGAAGAAGCAAAGACCACCAGCATTGAAGCGATGGTCCTCCGCCACCAACTCCACTGGACCGGCCATGTTGTCCGGATGCCCGACCACCGTCTCCCAAAGCAGTTGCTCTACTCCGAACTCAAGAACGGAAAACGGAATGTTGGAGGGCAGGAAAAGAGATTTAAAGATGGCCTCAAAGCCAACCTTAAAAACTCTGGCATAGACACTGAGAACTGGGAAGCCCTGGCCCTTGACCGCTCCAGCTGGAGGTCAGCTTTGACCAGCAGTGCTGCAGAATTTGAGGAGGCACGAGTGGAGGGTGAAAAAAAGAAACGTGCCAAGAGGAAGGCGCGTCAAGCCAACCCTGGCCGAGACCGCCTTCCACCTGGAAACCAATGCCCTCACTGCGGAAGAAGATGCAGAGCAAGAATAGGGCTCCACAGCCACATACGGACCCCCAAGAATATTGGAAGACAATCATCCTCGGAAAGCGAGGGATCGCCTAAGTAAAGTAAGATGCAGGAGAAACGTCAGGAGAGAATGCTTCTGGAACATGGCCATACAGCCCGAAAACCCTACAACAACCCATACTGGAGATTCTTGGCCAGAGAAGGTGAAAGGCCATTGAACTGCAACTCCAAGCCAGTTCAAGTGTTGCCAACATTGCATTTGTTTGGCTGCCTTCCAGGGCTGCTCCCCGCTTGAGGCTGGGGCAACGCCTCTTTGACCCATGTGACCCCCTGGGCCCAAGCCCCGCCCCCTGGCGAGCCTCTTCCCCAGCCGGGTTCCTGCGCAGGCGCGATCCTTGCCTTCTTGCTTGGCCATGGCTGCCCGGGTTCTCTGCCTTTGCCTGCCGCTGCTTTGCCTGCTCTTGAGTGGAGGCTCCGCGCTGCACACCAAGGGCGCCTTGCCTTTGGACACCATCACCTTTGCCAAGGTAAAGCCTCCTCCAACCACCTCTCCAGCCACATCAGACATCTTCAACCCCCATCAGTATTCATCAGCCCTGAAAAACAATACAGACAGTTGCATCCCTGTTTCTGCCTTGGAGGGGAGATCTGTCCACTGTCCAGTTTGAATGAAGGGGAGAGAGACGCGGNGAATGCAATATTCCTGCTTCTTGGCAGGGGGTTGGACTGGATGGCCCAACTCTTTGATTCTATGATTCTATGTCTCCTAGCATGGCATCACATTTTGCAATCCAAGAAGCTTATTGCACCAAGATCAATAAGACAGTTTCAGAAGGAAATTGATTGTGCTCAAAGAAATTGCTTTTTTGAAAGAAAAAAAAAGAAACAAAAATCCCCCCTTCAAACAAAAATACCTATTTACTTTCCAATAAAACAAATTTGTGGTAACAATTACATCTTAAGTGAAAGATAGTTGAGAATTTTGTTGCCTCTGATTGGGACTGTGTGTTCAGTAGCTTGGCTTTAATATTAGAATTCACTGGAGTGATTGGAGTGATTGATTGGTGTATCACAGAAAGAGGCAGTGCTGGCACTAAATAAAATTTCCCACACACTTAAAAGCTAGCTCATGTAGGTGGCTTGAATTTAACAACAGCAAAGCAAGAGGATGCACTGGGGAGTTATTGAAGGCAGATTCTGAGAACCATTTTGGACCTAATGCTAAGTGATGGAAACAGGAAACACAATTAAATTGCAGTTCCTGTTTCATACATTTCTTCATTCTGCCTGAAAAGGAACTTTCACAGTCTTCCAAAGTTCTGGACATAGTCTGTTAATCTGGGATAGCATCTCTATTTGGATAGGGCATGGTCACATTGCTAGGACACCCAAGGAAAGAGCTGGTTAGGTTTCCAGACCAGACCTGTCTGTCTAGCAGGTAACATGACAGTGGTGCTTAACTTGAGATGTTCCCAAACACACTGCATATGTGTTTCAAAGATAAACTTGATCTTTATTTCATTTCAATGGGGCCAAGAAAGAACATTCCTCAAAGTAAAGGCTGACAGTCAGACAGTTTGGAATACAAGAGTCTAGCACTACTTCCCATCTATATAGGCCTAGCACAATATAATGAATCACCCGAGTCCTGGTACCTGGTGCTTGCCCCTTCCTGCATTCCAGAACCCACTTTTCTCCCAACTCAGGGCAATTGACTTTTATGGCTGGTTCATAAGTCCTTGCAGTATCTTGTTCTCCCTTTAGGTCAATGGTCATGTGCTTTATGGCAGGGCTGATAAGTTGCATTGCATGAGTAAGTGATCATGACAAGTACAGGGGAATGAAATGGATAGCATCTTTAAAATATTTTTCACAATTTTGGAAATTTTTGCTATGGAAAAAGGCCCACATTTGATTCACCGTCTTGCTATGTCCGGAGTTCGTGGTCAGGCCCTCAATTGGTTCAACTCATTTCTCCAGAACTGGAGTCAACGCGTGGAGTACATGGATCAAGTCTCCAATAGATCCCCCCTCCTATGTGGGGTCCCCCAAGGTGCAATTCTCTCTCCTCTTCTCTTCAACATCTACGTTAGACCCCTTGCTAGTTTGGCTCGGAGTTTCGGCCTGGACTGCTACCAATATGCAGACGATACCCAGCTCCTTCTGCGCCTGGAGCCTGGAGCAACATCAATTCCAGACAATTTCACCCTATGTCTGGAAGCCCTGTCAAACTGGCTACGTGCTAGCAGACTGAAGGTGAACCGGCGAAGACTGAGATTCTCTGGCATGGCCGCCTGGCAGGTCTGACTCCTCCATTACCCACCTTCGATGGTGCCGCCCTATCTCCATCGACCACTGTTAAGAGCTTAGGCGTCGTCCTGGATTCACAGCTGACAATGGAAGCTCAGGTCGCTGTTGCCAGCAAACAGGCCTTTTTCCATCTACGACAAGCGAGGCAACTGGCACCCTACCTATCTGACGAGGCTCTGGCAACTGTCATCCATGCCACGGTCACGTCTAGGCTAGACTATTGCAACGCCCTGTATGTGGGCCTTCCGATGTCTACTACCCGAAAGCTTCGTATTGTTCAGAATGCGGCAGCAAGGTTACTCACAAGAACGCCCATGAAATGCCATATAACACCAGTGCTGCAACATTTACATTGGCTTCCAACTGAGTACCGTGGCCTGTATAAGATGCTAGTTCTGACCTTTAAAACTCTTTACGGCCAGGGTCCATCGTACCTTAGGGACCGCCTCTCCTTCTCCCATCATCGGAGGTCGCAACGACCAGCCCAACGTGACTTACTCCATATACCGGGTCCTAGAGAAGTGCACTTGGAAAGGACCAGACGCAGGGCTTTTTCTATTTCTGCCCCTGCCTTGTGGAATTCCTTGCCGCCCTACATGAGAGCCATGTGTGACTTAGGGCCTTTTACTCTCGCACTTAATACCTGGCTTTTTACTAGAGCATTCGATCTCTGTTAATTTTTAATTTTTGTATGTATGTATGTATTTTATCTTTTACAATTTAGCTGTAAATCGCCTAGAGCATTCTCGGATGGAGGGCGATTAATAAGTTATTAAATGATGATGATGATGATGATGTTATTCAATACAATTGCTTTTTGGTGCAGAATACCCAATTTTCTGTGCAAAATATAATATTTTTGCACAAAATATTTTTGTGTCCAATTTTTCTGAAATCATTTTTTTACCAAGAATATCCCAAAGTGCAACCCCCCCCCCCCACACACACTTGTTTTTTATTACTTCCAGAAACACAACATGCATTCCTGAATTCAAAATGGTTGACAGTATTCTTTCCCTCTTGCTGGACAGGGAATGAGAGGGCTGTTCACTGCCTTGGCTTTTGATTTATTTATATTTATGGCAAAACAGAGACTGAATATCCTATGGG